TGTCAGCGTGGCGGGGTACACGTGCCGAGCGTGTACGGATACGATTCCCGGCCATTATGTAATCTATTGGGAGCTGCTATGGCGGCGGAAGGGGGAGCTGGAAGGGGGAGTGATGGAGAAATGTTGCTTGGAGATGGAGGAGGAGATGAATTCGGTTTACAGGCAGAGCCGGGTGGCGGACCGGTCGATTGGACCGCTTGAGATCCGGGTCGTTCGGACCGGGACTTTTGTGGAGTTGATGGATTATGCGGTGGCGAGGGGAGCTTCGATTAATCAGTATAAGGTCCCGCGGTGTGTTGATGTTAAGCCGGTTTTGGAGCTTCTGGATTCGAGGGTGGTTTGTAGCTTTTTTAGCAAGGGTTTGCCGAGATGGAGTCCTGGCCGGTTTGATTAGACCGGTATGGAGTGGGCCGGTTTCATATTATTTGGTTTGGTTATTACTTTGTATAAATATTATTAGAAATAAATAATTGGGATTGTTGGGTTAATATGTTTGATATTATGAAGTTAGTGTTTGGATCAAATTTTCCAACATTCGTCTTTTTGTTTTCTCATATTCTGTCTCTTCTATGATGTAAATCCGTATTTACTATATCTGACTGCGATATATTTACATTCTGTCTCTTCTATGATTGTACTCGTGTTTTTAAAATAATCTTTAAATCTTTCTCAATTAGCCCAAATTAGTCTCATTGAATTTAATTAAATATATAGGTGTATATATTTACACATCAACCATATAAATTTCAAATTTTTCATAAATGCCCATTTACCTATGCATTAAAATATAATGCATTTCACTATCTAAAATTTACAAGTAATGGAGTATTTCATATGACATGAAAGGTAAAGCTTGTGTGTTAGATATGTAAAAACACGAGTTTTGAGTGGTGCATGTGTAAATGCCCTTACTTGGCCTTCCAATGGGCTAATTGATGAAATTATAGCCATAATTTAACCAAAATAACCATTTAAGCGGGGCACTTAAGGATCTGATTCCATGCTCATCTGATATCGAACCGAATTGGGATAGGCTCAAAATCGGCTTGTGGCTTGCTATATTCGAAATTGAATCGAGCCCGATATGGCTCTAAATCGAAATAATTTGGTTCAAATTGAATTATTTGGAATCGTTTTGATTTGGAATCGGCTCGATCCAATTCAAAGTTGAAATTGACCGGCTCAAGCGGAGTTATTTGGATCCATACCAGCCCCAAATTTGCTCCTGACTTGTTATATTCATATATACTTATAAGTATATATAAATTTAATTAGTAAATTATACTACGAGCCGATCCATATATTGCTTGAAATTGGAAAAAAAAAAAATTGATCCAAAGTTTCAGATCATAGCTCGACTCGTCTATTTCGATCCAATCTTGATTCGAGTCAAAATTGAAATTGATTTTCGAGCGATTAACAATAATCAAACTAAATTCATGGTCCAACATTTAAGACCATCTCGATCGATTCAATGGAGTCAAGAAAATTGAGCCCGACCGACCATTAAAAATCATTTCACTTGATTAACCCTAATTGGCTAATTTAAATCATGATGTTCACATACCAAGGGTAGAATAAATAATGAGGCAGATATAAAACAAGAATAAATGAATTATATAGCGGTCATTAATTGTAGATTCGTGCTAATTCTTTTGACTATGCACTATTTTTTTCGTACTTAAGTATTTTAACGAGCTCAAAATTGAGTGATATTTAGCCGCTTAATGTAAAGGTTGATCACGCCAAATTTGATTATCATTAGACCATTCAATTAAACTTTCAAATTTTTTAATTATACCCCGTGCTTGAATTTGGTTCATTTGCATATGCGAGTTGAGTAGATTGAGACATCCTCAGTTTAAGCCAGAGCTCGATTAATTTTATCAAGTTTGAGCTCGAGCTTAAATCCAGGAGTTCGAGTCCACTCAATTGTCCACCTTATTTATTACAAAAGAAAGAAAATAATATAAATTTAAGATATTTTTACAACAAAATGATAAATTAAATGAGGAATTAGAAGAAAATTAATAATAAATCACTTAATATAAAATACAAAATATTATTTTTTAAAATATTTTTTAATATTTAAAAATAATTTTTAAATTTAATATATTTTGAATATATTTTATATTAGTTTTTTTTTTTAAATAAGTCAGCTAACGAGCTAACCCCACTCATCGAATCGACAAGAGCCCTCACGAGATGGCTTGCCTAACTTTTTAAAATAAAACAATTCTTGCCTGCAGCACTCTAAAAAAAAAAAAAGAAATTTTTAAAAATTTGAAATTTTGATCTAACTTTGGATTAAAAATTTAAAATTTCAGCCCCAAATCTCCCTCTATTTAGCCCTCCCAACCCATTTCATTTGATTTCCTTTCAAACAAACAAGACGCACTCCCGCCAAGCAAAAAAAAAAAATGATTTTGGCGCTCCCCTCTTCGCCCATTACAAATCCCACCATTACTTTTCCCCTAAAAAATTTCAAACAAAAACAGAGCTGATTTCCTCCAAATTCAAATCACAGCGCCTCAAATCCCCCATTCTAATCCTACCCACCCTCCTTCCTCCCTCCTACACCTCCAAGCTCAAATCTTTCTCTATCCCCTCTCTCCTCCAATCCCTCCTCTTCTCGCCATGGTTCACAAAGAGAAGCTCCCCACCATTGCCGCCTCCAAGAAGCGCTTTGCTCTCCCCGACATCTCTCCACCCATCAAGCGCCGCGCACTCGCCGAGCTTCCGGCTCTCTCAAACTTCGATCATGGCCCCAAAACCAGATCCAGATTCCAGAAAGAAGAAAAGAGACGCGCCAAGCCCGTACCAGATGAGCCCTCGAACATCGCCAATGAAGAAGATGATCCCCAGCTGTGCCTTCCCTACGCAGCCGACGTTCTTGCTTATCTCCGGTTTTTGGAGGCACGCCCATTCTCAAAAATTGGATTTTTATTCTGAATTTTTTTTTGAAGATTGGATTATTAGGGTTTTTGGGGGGAATTGCAGGGAGAGGAGAGGAGAAGGCCGATGCGGAATTATATGGAGAAGGTGCAGAAGAAGGTTATATCTGCTAATATGAGAGGGATTTTGGTGGATTGGTTGGTTGAAGTGGCTGAAGAGTATAAGCTCTTATCTGACACTCTTTATCTCGCAGTTTCCTATGTTGATAGATTTCTCTCATGCAATGCTGTAGATAAGCAAAAATTGCAGCTTTTGGGTGTTTCTTCTGTGCTCATTGCATCGTAAGTCTAATTTTTTGAGAATTCTTTTAGTTTCATTCATTCTTCTTCTTCGTCTGGTTTTTAATCTTCTTCATCAATGGAGTTGCAGGAAATATGAAGAGATTGAGCCGCCAAAGGTGAAGGATTTCTGCTACATAACTGATAATACTTATACCAAGAAAGAGGTTAGTGATTGTAATTTATAATTAGTAGATGTGATTTAGCTTGGAAACTGAGATTTTTTGTTCTGTGTGAAGTTGGTGCAGATGGAGGCCAACATACTGAAAAGCTTGCATTTTGAGATGGGAAATCCTACTGCCAAAACATTCTTAAGGAACTTCATTAATGCTGGCGTTGAAAACAAGAATGTAATCTGAGCTTCTTTCTTTCTTTCTATTTTTCTTAAATTTGTTTAATGTTGATGATAATTTATTGAAAATTAATATATATTTGCAGTCGGAATTATTGGCTAATTTTCTTGCTGAGTTGAGCTTGCTGGATTATGACTGCATTCGGTTTTTGCCTTCTTTGATTGCTGCATCTGTTGTGTTCCTTGCAAGGTTCACCATGAATCCAAATGTGCATCCTTGGGTAAGCATAGTTTTCACAAACTTTCTATGTATTTACATATCTAATACCTAAACTTTGCTGCTTTTTTTTTACATTCATACCATCTAAATAGTGAAAAGCACGTTTTCAAGCATAGGTAAGTTGGCATATATGTAAAAATTGAAGTTTTGATGTTAGATATGTAAATACATTGGAGTCTGTTTCAGCTTCATCACCAGTAAAACCAAATATTCATTAATTCCTATCATTCACATGGTTTGATGAATTTTTGAATGTGAACAAATAGCTAAATAGTTTTCAGATTTCAACCCTTTGAACAAATTTTTAATCTTTTTTCTGTAATTTATGTAATTTCAGAGCTCAAAGCTGCAACAATACACAGGCTACAGCTCCTCTGATCTCAAAGACTGCGTCTTAGCTCTGCATAATATGCAGATGAATCGAAAGTTCTCATCTTTAACTGCTATCAGAGAGAAATATAAGCAACCGAAGGTCCCTTCTTTCTCTCTTTTGCATTTTGAAGAAGATTTACGTACATAAATCTCAATTCCTATGTATTTACATATCCAACACCAAAACTTCAATATTTATATACATGTCACATTGCTTATGTGATATTACATAATTGGTTGGTATTAAAGTAAAAAAAAAAAAAGAAGCAAAGTTAATATGGTAGATATGTAAATACATAGGAATTGGGGGGTATGTATGTGATTTTAAGCTGTAATTATCCTGAAAAACTTGTTTTTTGCAGTTCAAAGCTGTATCTGCCATGATCGTTCCATCAGAGATCCCATCATCTTGCTTTGAAGATTTTGAAGAGTTATGAGTTGATTTTGTGACTGCTGTTTGCCGGAAAATTTCGATTCTTTAGAGCGTTTATTGTAAATCTTTTGTAATTGGTGCAATACGAGTTTATAGGTTTTTGGCTGCCAAAATAAATGCAATGCAAAAGTAGGTTTTCGAATTGAATTGGATCATTATGTAAAAACAATGCATTTCAAGGTAAAAATTAATGCATTGGCAGGAATTTGCAAATCCGTTTAGTTAATTTTTTTTAAAAAAAAGTGAAAATATGCATTTTAATTGGGTAAATATCAAAGTTCGGGGGTTAGAAATGTAACTACCTAAGAATTTTGGTATGTATGTAAATTTATCCTATACATATCTACAATATAACTATTAATGTTTATTTGTTTAACATATTAGTAACATAATCAGTTTAAAATATGATATGAAAAGCTATATTTCATTTTAAAAAGAGTGATTTAAATAAATAAGATATAATAAAAATTTTATTTTTTTTGTAATTTGATAGTAATTTTGGGTATAATTTAAATATTAAAATTTATTTCTATTATGCAAATTGTACCAATCAATATCTTATTAAATTTGAGTACCATTTTCTCTTATGATTATTGCATAATAATCATAATTGTCATAACATGTGTATTCTCCGCATGTTCGAACGATAGTCTCTAGATGCAGCCACACTGCCGTGAATCACACGTAGGCCCATCCAGACCATCGTCCGAACGCACGGTCGCCACACTTGAACAATTTCTCCTTCAATGCACCTTACAACCAAAATTCAACAAAACAAATAAAATTTTTATTTTCAACCAATGTTTTTTGCAAAATAAAACTGGAAGGAGAGTTCAACAAAATACAAATTATTTTCCAAATACATCGAATTAACATTAAAAGATTTAGGAATGAAGCTTCCAGATATCTTTATATAAAACAATAAATAAGATAATGATAAGTAGAATAAAAGCATGAGAGGTTTATTAGAGGATAATCTCTTCCTGTACACTGACGTTGAGGGTCTTATTTGGGAGGACAATGCTGTTAATAACCACTATCTCATCTTCCACTGCTACAGACTCTCCTGATTTGTTGCCAATAACTGTTAGTTTGAACTTCCAAGGGGCATATTTGCATACATACCAAAAATTTTAATATATTTACATATCTAAATACCCAAACATTCGTATTTACAGGCATGGCACTTAAATTTTTATGCATAGATGTTATAAGTGTGTAAATATCAAAGTTTAAGTATATGGGAATTGTGTGGTATGTGTGTGAATTTCCCTTCAAGTAAAAGGCTCATTTTCAAAAGCAATAATGGACACTGAAAGAGGAAGAAAAATTGAGAGGGTAGATAATTGATCTTACCAAGGATTGTAATTCCAAGTTTGGCATTGTAATCCCCTTCACCCTGAGATTAAAAAGGAGATTTAAAAGTTAATTAACATAATTCGGATCTTGGAGAATCAATAGATCATTCCTGAAAAATAATACACAGCTGCCGGATAGAAATGCGTAGTTTAATAGATTAATTAAGGGCGTGCTTACCTTCGCTTTTGTTTCCTGTCTTTGCTTTGGAATATTTACATATATAGACCACAAAATTCTTGTGTATTTACATGTCTAACACATAAACTTTCATATTTACATGCATAGCAATCAAATCATCAATATCATATCAAAAATACCACTATCAATTAAATTTAAAAAAAAAATGAAATACATATTTTCCTATAAAAGTTTATAAATAATGAGTGATAAATGCAAATATTGAAGTTTAGGCCTTATATTTCTAAATACATAAAAATTGAGTTATGCATGTAAATTTCTCTTTTATTTTTTAAATATTTAATTGATAGTATAATTTTCAAAATTTTACTTTTTATTTTAAAAATAAATCAACTTATTTAAAAAAAAAAAAACTAAAAAATATTTAAAAGATGTTTCAAGTATTTTAAAAACAATTACTTCAATCAAATATATTTTAATTTAAATCAAAATATTAAAAAAACAAAAATAAAAGTGATCCCAAAAAGCCTATAAGAATATGACTGGGTCAAATAATCTTTACATCCATCACTTTTCCCTGTCTTAAGTTGTATAACTAGTGATTGGAGAGGTGAAGGTTTTATATGCCACAGAACATTTCTAATGAATCAAACTTCACATCAAAAAAGAAATATATTTCTCATTCTCAAAGAATATATGCCAGTTCTATGTTCTTTTGAGTTTTAGTAGTAGACTGTAAAGCGCTATATGCCACAACCATTTGAGGAATCTAACTTCAAAGCCAAAAAATAAATTACGAATAAAAGTATTTCTCTCTCAAAGAATATATGCCACAGAAGTACTGAAGGAATCTAAACTTCAAAGGGTCTCTAACGACACTATGGACAACCAATGATGAGGGTCTGTTTGGAACAACTTTTTGCCAACTTTATATCTTATCGCTACCACAGCTCTGTTTCGAGAACTTCTTTCTTGCTGCATTTTAAACATTTCTATGGAAGAAAGCTGTTTTTTTTTAATCTGAGCTATTAAAGTGTGGTGACTGTCAGAAAGCTGTGGTTTGACTTTTTGAAAATAAATAAATTAATAATAGCTACTACAATTTTTTGAATAACAATTTCTTTACGAAGCTGCTTTTTCAAACAACTACAATTGTCCCAAACAAGCCCTAAATTTTGAAATTATTTGTTGTTAACAATGTATGGTTAAGCAGGCTTATTTGCAATCACAGAATCTAATATACCATTTGTGCTAAAAACCCATTCAAGGAACTTTAGGACACTTACGAGAATTTGAGGATATATGAAGAAATCTCCTGCAAAAATATTGCTTTAGCAGCGCATAACCAACCAAAAATTGATGATTATTTTGATGTTTTTTATAATAGAGATCCATTGAAGATCAAAACCCTAAAATATCTTCAGATTCAAAAATAAAGCTAAAAGATAGGGACTACAGCACATTTTACCCAGTAAAATATTATGGGATGAAAACTTTAAAAGAGCAATTTGATTTCCTTGTAATTTTAACGCATGATTTTTAAACATGACAATCAGGTAGAAGACCTATTTATCAAAGTTCTGAGCCCACCATAGTTGATATGTGCGTGTGTCTACTCTAGCATCTACTCTAGCTTGAGAAAGTATTATCATAGAGATTTTACAAGATTGAAAAATTTAAATTTCATATTTTATTTTTATCATTATAATATAACCTCATAATTGTAGAAAATTATCCTCTTTATTTTTCATTATCTCTTTTCTACTTTAATGTTTGTATTTACCTATATATAAACACATGTATTAGTGTTAAAATAAATGATGTTTCTACCAGTTTTTAAAGGCTCATGGCACAGCAACAGACAGAATCAAGGCATTACAAATGACCTTACAAATATTTCATGCAAGGCAATCGGGTTAAGATGACCAAACTTTTCTTTATACTATAATATACATGATTATGTGTTGGTTGATGGGAAGGTTGGTGGTTTTTGGCATTTATTTAACAAAGTGTGGGCCCAATAAAAATAGGGACATATCCATAATTCAAATAAAAATAGGAAGATAAAAGGAAAGGACACACGGCTACTGTCTGTATGAAGTTAGTAACCAGGCATGAGTATGCAGGTTTTGGGCCTGAGGTATTGTTTGGTTGATTAGAAATTTGAAATTAATTCGGAATGTTTATCTTGTATAATTAATTTAAAATTAGATAGAGATTGATCCTGCACAAACTTTATCTATTAACTTGAGCTATGAGTCTATAAATAGTGATAGGAGGCATGTGATTAATACCTTATAGTTTAAATAAAAATTCACAGTTTGCAATCATGTTTCTTCAAGTTAGATGTGAATGAAATAATAAATACTGAAGCAGAAAACTTACCTGTACACGCGACCATTTTCCAATGGATGATTTCCATCCAATGATAGAACGTATTACCACAGCATTCTCCTGAGTCAAAATAATTGAAGTTATCGAGGGTTTGAAAAATTTGAGCATTTTAGCTTGATGCACAACCGATTCACACCTTAATTTCAACATCATCTAAAATGATGCAGCTGATAAGCCTTGCACCAGCACCTATGCGAGCATTTGCAGAAATGGAGACATTTGGGCCAATCTGTTACAAGAGGCAACATGAATATTATGTGCTGAGTGATGATGCAAAGTCAATTAGAAAAGAATAAATTATTAAAGAAATCACTAAAATAGCACTACTTTGGAGTACCTTTATATGCATAATTTATTACAGTAGGTAAAATATTAAGTTACATAATTGTTCGCAAGAACTTATGGGATCTGTCATGTGAAAAATTAATCACTTGAAAAAAAAATTAATCATCATCACCATCAGCCACATCCCAACCATTTGCATCTCTCACATATAAGAATATTCACCTTAAATTACAATTCAGTACATGTGCCACTGACTTGCTAGAACTACAGGTTTTTAAAAAAAGATTTTTCCGTACTACTAGTTCCCCTTAAAAGAAGTTCTAGAAGACAAAAACATAACCATCTAAGTTTTCTTGACTAGATGTGCACCTTTATAACAATGGACAGTCATGTACACTCGTTGGACGTACTAAATACAGAATGATTAAGATTCAATCATCCGAAATCATTTAAAACTTAGTAAAGGGAAAAACAATGTAGAACTTGCATAGTACACCTACTAGCTCAAAAAGGAAGTAGGAATGTTTGTGAATGGGTACATATGATGCAATAAATCCATTCCTACTGTCATAAAGCTCAAATTGCATACAGCAATACCAGTGCCAGGCTGTCCATGGGAAAGCATTATCATGGACTTACTGGAAGGGCTATATGATACAAAAGGAGCAAATTTTTGGTATTTTCAATCACTTTACAAAGATAATTATCTTGAACACATCATCGGGGGAGAAGCCTAATCGATTATTCCTTTAAAATATGTGGCATGCTTTAGACTTCCAACTACCATTTTGTTTGACATAGATGTTCAATTCCTCTGGCGTTAATGGAAGGCATTGTGAACCATGATGGATACAAAGCCAATAAGGAAAACGACTTTCCATCCACATACCGATGGACAGATGGAAATCAAGAATAAAACTATCGTGCATCTTCTATGAGACTATAGTAAGAAGCAGCCCAAGAGTAAGAATGATATGATACCTTACCTATAGTTTTCCTTTAACAAAGTTTGTACACTCATCGAAGATAAACACTCCATTTGAGATATGTTTGGTTTATTTCTCCCAAAGCCAGCCAAACATAAATTTCTCCATCACCCCCACTACTAATGAATAATGATGGAATTGAAGTCAACTAAGAAAAAACACAAAGTTCTTCAAAGGCATTCAAATAATACATATGTTAGAGAAATAGTTGCAAAAAGATAAACAGAAGGACAAGAAAAAGTATGATCAGCATCTTGTCAAAGCCTACTTCCAAGTAAGTAATCATATTTGATTGCATTTAGGCAAATGATAGAAAGAAGGCAAAAAGCTGAAGCTAATATGATATGCGCCGTTCTAGATTATCAAGAAGATAGGAGACAATACATGCCAATTATACCAACATACATGGAGATGTAATCAATGGCAAATATGGAGAATTTGATGCGCCATTAGAACATTCTATACTTGATGGCCAGGCTTAAGAGGTATGTTAATGGAGCATGACAAAGGGTGTATTCACCCAGTGCAACAATGCGGTGAACCAAAGAAAAGTTGGGCAAACATCCTTCCCTTATCTGGAGCTATAATTGAACGGGAACAAAATTATCCTAAATAAGAGGCCTGTGATCAAGGAATAAAATCAAGATAATGATCAAACAAATCATTCATAATCTGGAATTGGGCACCAAATCATGAAGAAACCAAAGAAATCATAAGATATGGAATTCTGATGGTTAGATCTCTTGACGGAGACTGTTATGGTGTTGATTCTCAAATCACACCATTGAGACTGTAAATTAAGTTAACAAGAATCCCTAAGCAAAAGTTGAAGACCGATCAAAAGCATAGCAATCAAAATTAAAAGACAAAAAATCGAACTAATAGATAGCTAAGCAGTGGGTGCCAAGGTTAGGATGCATTTTGAACTTATTTTGAATAGGATTGTATTTTAATTTTAAATTTATTTGTTTCTAATTTCATGGATTAGTTTTGGGAAGGATAAGATCCCTCCTCTTAAATTATATAGTTCATAAAGGATAATATAACTTTTGAATTACAAGCACATTAAAAAGAGATAGAATTGAATTTAAATTAAACTCATACTATAATTGCTTATAAATAAGCATGATGCCTCCACCAGAAATCAAATAAAATCATCCTAAAGAACTCCCTCCTCCCTTCTCTACCACCATCAACCTTTTGTCCTCTCATATAGTTGTGGTTTTCTACTGCGTGCCCTGTCCAAGTCTGTCGCTTTAGCCTTACTGCATCTAAAACGCTCCAAATTGTCCCCATTGATCTACAAATGACTCCAACCCTCCAAAGCCTACTACCACCGTAACAATTGTTAAAGATAAAAGCATGATATAGTAATTGCACAGAAAATAAACATGAAGCACATATAATCCACTTCATATAATGATAAAGTTTGTCTTTCTGCAAGAGAATAAAAGAATAAACATTATAAAAAGAGGTAATCTAAATATATTAATAGTTCAAAGCATATGCCGATAAATTATTTTAGCCTGATGCTTCTATGTTGTGTTCGACAGACACTGCGCGACTCCTTTAGTTAGAAGTATCTGCGCATCATAGATTCGGTGTAAATCTACCGGCACACCCTAGATTCTAACAAAAAATTGAATAGAAATGAAGAATTTTGTCCGATTGACAAAGAAAGATATCGATGACTTAGCAAATTACTTTTCCTATTACACAAGAGCTGATTTTGCACATTCAGTCAGTGTAATAAGTCAACACAAGAATAATCCAAACGAGGAATACCAAGAAACTAAAAGCATGATATAGTAATTGCACAGAAAAATAAACATGAAGCACATATAATCCACTTCATATAATGATAAATTTTGTCTTTTTGTAAGAGATTAAAAGAATGAACATTATAAAAAGAGGTAATCTAAATATATTAATTATTCAAAGCATATGCCGATAATATCCTTCCAAATTAGAAGCCTCTATCAGGAGTTGATGCTTTTATTATTATTTATTTTTCATTAGGCTCATTTGCAACATGCATGACACATATCGGGCACATCATGCCATGCATATGTCAAGCATTGTATGTTTCATATTATAAAGTATCGGTGCATCATAGGCCTTAACTATACGAACTATATCATTTGCGTCACCATTATTTTGTATTAGATACCACAATTTAAAACATATTACACTCAGGTATTACTTTACCTTTGAATAGCATTGATTAATAATTGTTAATATCACACCAACTGAAGTTACATAATATAAGTTGAGGCTTTTGTTCTAATAATTACAAGTTCTTGATCTTCTACAATTGATCGTTCATTACAGTGATTTATATAATTCAAATTTTACAATAGATTTCCTTGTTAAATGCTCATCATGGAGAAGTTCAACCACTGTCATCTTCACAAAATCCTAGTCTACCATGCAAAATCCTCAATCAAAATAATTGCAAAAGTGCTACCCCTCTCATCAATAACCAACCCAACAAAACATAAGAAAAAAGACAGGTGTCAAAGACAAAAGCAGAAGTGTGGCTTCATCGCCAAATTCATAAAAAAAAGGCAAAGACAATGAGTAATTGGATTTTTTTTCCCCAAAAGACTTATCCTAGTGACCCCAAAAGACTTATCCCAGTGACGCAAAGGTTAGTTCGGCTACTAGTTCATGGGCTAACAAAAGTGGTTGTCCCAAACACACACACACACACACACACAAATAAGTTTTGAAACTCAACAAGCTAAGTAAGCATTTCAACCAGCAGGTATAAGGAATGATATTTTTAGGTTTCAAAGTTAATGGTCTGCTGGGGAAGCCCTTACAGTCATAGTGATTGTTGACAAGTTAAAGTTTCAACATGTCGAAAATATTGGCTTCAAAGCATTTCTTGTCTAGGCTTGTCCAAAGTTTCAAAATCCCAGCAAATTAATTATTAAGAGGTATTAATTTCAGTTTTACTTAGAAGGAGTGTCAAGTAAAACTAGTTTTGAAGAAAATCATGTCAAAGTGTTTGCCTGACCTCAGATCAACAGGCTTATTTTCAGGGAATCAATGCCAGTGTCTCAGTCTCACACAGCAGTTTGTACAGTAAATTGATTTTCTCTATTAATCTTACAAAAAACTTCAAAATTTTATCTTTTCTTTAGCAATGTAGATAGATCTAGTGTTCAGAAGTTGATAAATTTTGGGTGAATTTGAAAATTGACAGGTCTTTCCTGTGCACTCTTAAGTAGCTTGCAACGTTCTGGCAGATTCCATCTACAAAGTGGCATTCAAGTTTTCAATAAGAACAGGGAGATGTGCTCTCAATGCCTTTAGCATTTCGCAGTTTCCTGTAATCATGCAAACCTTATACATAGCATTGGACTTGGAACATTAACTCCACTTTATATGAAAGAAAACATAAATCATGACAAAAAATTTCGTGAGCATAATATTTTTAAGTAAAATATTGTTTTGTCATCGTAACCAAGCATAATCTGTTAACTAATTGTAGTTTCTTCTCTCAGATTTCTTAAAGATGCCAATACTTCATCTAATATTAAAATATTTGCTATCAGCTTACAATTTGTAACTTAAATAGAAAGTATTCGCACTATTTCTTATACTCTAAAACACTTGATACACTAGAGAGCCGATTTATATTATAGAAAGTATTCGCACTATTTCTTATACTCTAAAACAATTGATACACTAGAGAGCCGATTTATATTTAGTCAAGCAGATTAAATAATAAACTAGTAAAGCAATTAGTGATTTGCTTATTCATTCCAGCTAGTTATTTTCTTTGACTCATGAGAATTGGAGATGTCAACTCGTGCATGATACTTTGAAGGTTACAATATCAAGATAACATGAGCCGTGAATTACTGTGGCATGAATTTGCAATTTCTTTGAAAGACATCCCTGCTGAAACATTTAAATATATCTACCTTCATTCATTTAAATTTGGGCTGTAACTTCAAGTTCTATGTTGATGGTGAATATTACTGTAATGGGCTAGGTATCAGTGTTGATGGACTAAACTAGGAGTAAGTGCTTTGAGCTTTGCTGTTTTGTGTGAGGTGCTAACTCAAAAAATATGATTTGTTCTTAATTGCTATGTTATGTTACAATGTTTACATTATAATGATATTGGTTAATGTAAACTACTGCCGGTGGAGGAATAAGGAAAACGGTTTTCTTTAGATGAAAACATCATTTTCTGCAGCAATAGAAGCCACCAATTTACCGCTAGAAAAACAACCAGTTTTCACCCTTAAACACTTGAGTTATCTCCTTTGTTGCCCTTAAGGCGAAGTGTTAGGCAATAGGCCCCAGCCCAATTAGGCTCATGGGGCATATGCCCCCACATGCCTTTTACTGAATTTTGCACTTGTTTGCCTCTCCCGCACTCTTACGCTGGCGCATAAAGTGCAGAAAGCCTCGAGAAATCGAGACGTCTTTCCCGCAGAAAGCCTCATGTGATCTAGACATCTCTCCCCATTGTGTAGTCGCAACAATCGAGATATCTCTCCCACAACGACACCCGTCATGCAATCCATGCCTATCACCTACAGGAACCGCAATTTTGCAGAAATAAAAATGTAAGAATGCATTAATGTTCGGATTTTCACTGTAACCACAGTGAATTCACTATAGCTACAATGATTTCACTGCAGCTACAGTGAAATTTGCATCTAAAGTATATATTTTGGTATTAATTTTGAGGGTACATTTTATTTAATTTGATGTGCAGTATTTGTAATTAATTTGTTTGTTTTTTTATAATATAGGCAATAATGATAAGGAAAATTATTTGTGAATGCACCTGAGACTGAGACGATGACTTTAATAAAGTGAACAATAAATATAGACAACATGAAGGGCCTGATTGTGATTTAGATACAACTATTAGTGAAAAAGAAAGAAGATTTTGAGGAAGGACTTGAAGAATGAATAATATTCAATAATTGAGATTGATTGCGCATAACTAGTTTATTTTTTGTCTCAAACATGTTTACTTATTTTTATATGTTTGTACTTATTGTGATGGATTTATACCAAAATCTTGAATATTTTAGTCCAAGACAAGTTATTTTGAAATTAAATGAGTATAAATTCTTATTTTTATCTCTAAATAATTAATTTTTATATTTCTTATATATTGCGGGGCTTACATCCGATACTTATGAGGCCTGCGCCTCGTCCCATAATAGCTAAAACACCCCACCCAACATCTCTACCTCTTAAGAAATTGGTTATGCCACAAAGAAGATTACAGCTTCCTCTCACACAGAACTGTTGTTATCTCAAATAAAAACACGCTTTTTTTCTAGGAGGAAATTGCAGGTTTTGGTGCCAGAATTTCCAGTTTTCGTGTTTGGGCTAGTTTTATAACATCCTTATTCTACAGTTTTGCCATTATTTTTCAAAGATTCAGGGCCATTTTACAGGATCAGATTCCTGCCAAGAATCCGGAATCGCTTGATCTTCAGTTTGACAAAACTAGCTGAAATAACCAAACAAAAAGTTTGGTTAGTTCAGTTTGGTACTAGAAATTAAATTAGTTGGTCTAGTTTTTAAATGAGAACAAAAACCGATTAATTTGACAAAGTTTGGAAAATCAAACCAACAAAATTAACAAATTCACACTCCTAACAAATTGGGGATCCATGAAAGTATGTAGAACTGGTACCTTAGCACTTGGATGTACTTTTGCAGATGGATGAATGTAAACATCATCAATTATGGTAGCACTTCTACTTCCCTTGCTTCTAGAAAGAAGATGAGGGGAAGTATGACGATATTGAGCAAGATACAAGCCTGAACATTTCAAAGACATCCTGATTATCATAAAAATGCAATTGGTTATCAATTCACATATATTCATGGTGAAAGGAGAGAAATAGAATCGGTAGTTTCGAAAGATAGCACCCACCCTGGTGTCTTGATCTGCTCCCAGAAGTCACGAGTTTCATAGGTGTAAAGCTCTTTCTTCCCAGCAAGAGGAGACAAAATATCCTGATCCAGCCTCAGATAATCTGCAGGAAGAGCTCTTTAAAAAGATAGTTATTAGCATTCAAACAGAATATGATACCACTCCAAGGTTATAAGAGCAATACAGTAAAGTTACACAAGTTTGGAAAACATAAAAATTCAATGTTCTAGAAAAGTCGCATAATCCCATAGCAAGAACAAAATTCCTTTGTCCCACTGCATCTTATGAGAAATCACAATAAGCGGGTTTGAGTTTGAACTAAACAAAGGGAAGAGAAGTGCATCAGAATAAGCAACAAAGAAATGTTGATTTTATCAAGATTTTAATATCACGAATTTTCTAAAAGCATGAATGCAACAAATGACTAAACACACACACGAACTTTCAAGCACAAATACATACATTAATGCAGCATACAAGTATTTCCTTGGATTAGGTAACTCAAGAAGCCACAAAACCTCTCGTGGCTCCATAAAGCATTATGAGGCCCGATTCTCCCATTATACCACATTCCAAGCCTTTAGGTCATCCGAAAACCCTACCAAAATTGTTAGCTTGTCTTTGTCAAGCTGGATCCCCAAAACTAGGAGGAAAAGCATAGCACCAACTAATAAAGGAAAATATCAACAACAACACAGTTCAGTCTGTTTGCCAGTCAACAGTAATCCATTAGAACTCTATTTCCATATAATGCATGAAGTAATGCACATCTAAATCTGTTTGCCAGTCAACAGTAATCCATTAGAACTCTATTTCCATATAATGCATGAAGTAACGCACATCTAAACCCATGCACTTGTTCAGAAAAGGTAAGAACAAATTAAAAAACAAATTATAAAAAGAATGACATCATATACGTGTTAAAACTTTATTTAAGGATATACAAAGGTCCAAAAGGACAGATAAATATAATCAACATTACAAGGAAACCATATAAAGTTGAAAGAGAAATTAATAAAGCAATGGCTCATACTTGGTTGCTGACTGTAGGGCTTCAAAGCTAGTAGTCCGTCGTAAATTGGCTGAAAAGTTCATATTTCAAATAAAAACTTCAGAAAATTATAAGCTGCTACTATGCATTGTGTGTGCAATCATAAAAAGAAATAAAACTGGCAAAACAGAGCAAGATAAACCATATTCAATTGCAAGATGACAGGACGACCACAACAAGCCTTTATCCCACTAGGTGGGATAGGCTACATGAGTTATTTTCCTTTATTGTGTCCTATTGAGTGTCATATTTTCATTTTAATTCTAGTAATTTACGATCATGTTTTATACAACATGCCCAAAAAAGATCAATGAGCAAATAATTATAATAACTGTCAATCTAGACATCAGAATAAAATAAGCAAAAGATGATGAATAATATAAGAATTAAACAACAGCACAGAAAAAAATACAATCAAATGCAAATGAATCCTAAAAAAGGTTAATAAATGTCCAGACAACAATAGATGTAATTTCTTATTCACGCACATTTAATTAGGAACAAAGCCCGACAAAATCCCATCGATAAACAAATATTCTTCAAAAAAGCGAGTTGGTTTCATAATTCCCCATGCCTTTAAATAATAAAGACAGAAATAATATTCTCTCCCAAGTATCAATCTTGCATTTCAAACGATTGGATTTATATAAGCCATGTAAGAAAAAATATTAAATGCTTATTTGGCGTCAGCATGCTCATTGGTAGGCTTGACAAATATGCCTTAAAACTTTTCTCAAATTTTAAACAGCACAATATCAAAATCAATTTTCTATATGTAAGGGATGCTCAAACTTAATCATTTTAACACAAACTTAATTAATTAATTAATTATATTTATTTGTTTATAAAAAATGCCTACTCCTCTCTCTATCTATTATAGCAATGTAGAGAGAGAAAATAAAATCAATTAAAATTTTAGAAAATATTTTTGAAATTAATAAACATGGCTTGAGTCAACTCAAAAGCCAAAATTAAAATTTCATATTCAGGCCAACACCTGCTCGCCAAAGCACCTCTCATTATCACCCCTACGGACCTACTCTACGGATATGAGAACAATTCAAATCTACAAATTCAATTTTGTTTTTTCTTTTTGTGAAAATAGTTGAGATGACATGAGTAATAATAAGGGAGCTTTATGCTAACAGAATGTGATAAGTTTGTGAAAATCAGAAAAACTGTTGAACTACAAGGAGAGGTTCAAGGTTCAATAGGGGTTTAAATGGATGACATAATAAATATTAAAATTATTTTAATATGATTTAAATGATACAATAATGTTAATATATGATAAATATGTAACAACTTAAACGAAGCTAACATTTTTAGTAATTATAAATTTAAAACTTCATATACAACTCAACAGCATATAATTGTATATGTATAAGAAATATATATATATATATATATATGTATGTATATAATATATTTGGAAAATTAAAAATCTAATGTAATGTAAACATGTAAATATTAATATAATTTATAAAAAGAATATATTTTACACTAATAGCATAATTTGTAATAATTAATAAGAAAAAAAAAATAATATAAAAAAATAGCATTATTCTTTTATAATATTTCAATATTTTGCTGCTCATCTAATATTTTTAAGACCCAGTTTTCAATGTCCAACTATTTTTATTTTCACAGCTTAAATCATACTTTGACACTCAAAGTTTTTAGTCCCACATCATGTAGAAGACTCGCTGTTCACGAATAGCTTGTGTTCAGGTAGCTAAGTAGCTCGTGTTTGATTCATTCATTAAGCTAATAAACCAAACAAAAATAAAGGTTTGTTCGTTCTTGTTCGACTTAATTTAACTCCAATTAATTAAATAATAAATTAATCATATTAGTATAATATTTGAGTATTAAATTTATATATTGTATTTTTGAAAAACAATAAATTATTAAAATTTAAAAAATTTTAGCTACGATTATAAATAAAAAATAAAACATTTATACTAGACATTTAAATACATAAGAATTAGGTGGTATGTATGAAAATGCTAAGAAAACTTCTCTCGGCCACTCCCTACCCAAACTTGTGGTCAACTCTCTTCCATAAGAAGACAAGCTTTTATCCCACTAAGTGGGATCGGCTATATGAATCATTTCTCTCCATGGTGTCTTACTGAGTATCATATTTTCATTTAATTGTAATAAATTAAGATCATTTTTTATACAATATACTCAAGTCCTTTTAAGTCTACAATTGCCTTTCTTAACATAAGTTAAATCTAATACACCTACTCTTCCAACTGGATCATCAGATGGTCAACATTTAATGCAACCAAAACATTTAAGACGGCTCTCGCTAATTTTAACTGCAACTGGAGCTACACCAATCCTTTCACGGATATATTCATTTTGCATTTTATCTCTAAGTGTCAAGTCACTCAATCATTATCATCTCCACATAACTTAACTTTGTCTTATGCTTCCTTTTTAAAGGCCAACATTTTGTGCCATAAAACACTGCAGGACTCATCACCATCTTATAAAATTTTCTTTTAAGTCTAAACAATAATTTATATCAGACAATACGTCAGATGCATGTTGGAATGGAGAAGCTTTTAGGATATGATAAAGGCTAAAAAAAAACTTATGGAAGAAGCTTCACTCTTATTTATCACCTTAATTTGGCTTGATACAAACTCAAAGACTCCACCCTTATTTATACTAGTGACACATTCTAAATTAATGGCTAGGATTGTGCCACCACAATTCCAATCCAATGGTTACAAATAATTCCACACCTACCACACAATAATTCAACACCTACCACACCTACTACACAATAATTTCATACTTACCACATATTCTAGAATAAGCTTCTAGAAATTAAGCTTTATTTAAACAAATAAAATCAAGTTTATATTTCAACACCCCCTCTTAAACTTGATTTGTGACTCCAAGCAAACTTCTCATTTTAATAAAGTCTTCACTCTTGAGTGGCTTGGTAAAAAATATCTACAACTTGGTCTTGAAACTTCACGTACTGCATTTGTATCTCCTTTCTTTCGATGCATTCTTTGATGTAGTGATAATGCATATCAATGTGTTTGTTTCTATCGTGGAAAACAGGATTCTTTGCTAGCGCGATTGCAGACTTGTTATCAATACAAATCTTAATCGCCTCTTCTTGTGGTAAACTTAACTCTTTTAATAGGTTTTGAAGTTAAATTGCATGACAAACACATGAGGTTGCAGCCACGTACTCTGCTTCGCAAGTAGAAAGAGTGACAATTAGTTGTTTCTTTGACACATCCAAGTGAAAGCAGTGTCTCCTATGAAGAACACGAACCCTGTAGAGCTCTTTCTATCATCCATGTCTCCAGCCCAATCACTGTAGCTATATCCTACAAGCTTGAAATTTTTTGATGATGAGTAAAATAAGCCAAAATCAATTATACCTTTGATATAACGCATAATTCTTTAGCAGTCTTCAGGTGGGTAACAGTCGGAGTCTCCATGTAGCGACTGACAAATCCAACGGCATAAAAAATATCAGGTCTTGTGCATGTTAAGTAGCGCAAACTTCCAACCAAACTCTTGAAAAACGTTGGATCAATTCTTTTTCCCTCATCAAATTGTGATAGCTTGACTCCACATTCTAAAGGGGTTTTTATGGATTGTCTATTCTCCATCTTGAATTTCTTCAATATCTCCCTTGCATAACCTTCTTGAGAGATGAAGATCATAAAAAATTTAAGAATTACCTAACACGAACAGGCAATTTGCGAGTCATTTTGAACACGAGTCGAGCACAAAAAAAATTTAAAGAAGTCGAACCCGAACAAGCCTTAGGCTCACCAAGTACGGCTCGTTTACACCCTTACTCATTTTGATTAAATTTAAGGTTTTTATATTCATAATTATAAGTTTAAATTAATATAATTTATAACTATAGTAATAAGTCTTATATGAAAAAATTTAATCATTGAATTGATAACTAAAAGTAATTAAAAATATACTTTGGACGAATAGTTCTATAAAAATAAAACCAACTCATCGGTTCGCCGTTTTGGCTAGCAATTCACAACAATTTTCATTGGTTTAATGCAAAAACGATTTTCAAGGCTACCTGGACCAACTGTATGCCCACTTCATAGTGAAACGGGCTGGTTCGACTAGGCTTTTAAAACCTTGGAAAGTGATGCATCATCATTTCTTTTCACATTTACTTCCCTCGACCTTCTCCATTCAAAAATACTCCATAAAGTGCTAATCTATAAATCAAATTATACTATTTTAGTTTACAAAGAATATCTAGCGATAAAAGTTTAACACAACCACAACATATGACTAAAAGAAGTAAAAAAGGCTAACTTTCCCTGCCAGGTTGCCATCCACATTATCCATTAGTAGTTCACAGCAAACAGCTAGGACAGCCAGTGGTGATGTGCAATAAAATTTGTTTGATCAATCAACTTAATTAACTAAAACAGAGTCAAAATCTCAAGAGCCAATCATAAAGAGTCAAACAAAATGTTACGAGGGCGCCTAACCTAAGGGCAAATTTGACTTTTGTACGCCTAAAGGCAATTTATTCTTTTATTATTATTATTGTTAGATATAAATAAGTTTGTTATGTCTAGGGTTAGGTTTATGCATGAAATTGAGTTGTGAGTCTTAGGACTAAGATTTTGGACAGATTTCCTATCGAATTATATGAATTGGGAGAGACGGCCTACCTTTCGAATTGTAAGTGTTTATCTTTTATATTTGTGTGAGTTGTTTGGATTTTTGCAATAAAATTCAAGTTTGCCCTAATTTCTGTAAAAATTTATGTTGATTTTGATGTCAAATCGTAACAAATTGGTATCAGACCTCAAGATTTTGGGAATCAAATCTGAAGATCGAAAGCTTAAGCAAATTTTGGCTTGTTGGCCAAAATTTCAGCATACATAGCCTTCAATCCAAATGTTTTATCGTACGCGCAACAAGTGAGTCGGATCTGCGTGGAGAGACTTGATCTATCCCAGATTGACGTTATTGCACCTTACCAGAACCCGCAACCTCGTACAG